TCTGAACCCATAGTCTGTGTGAGGTCGTAGTTGTCATAGGACGCCATACAGATGAGAGAGTCAAGAGGGAACAGAAAGTTGAGTTCGCGATAACCTTCGGCCTAGGTTAGGGGCGCAAGGACCTCCGCTCAACTACGTCTGCACCGAAGTGAAGTCGGGCGTGCGAAATAATTTATAAGCTTACTTTCATGGCGAGAGGAAACTTCTCGTTGGGTTTCACTATGTTTCTGATAATGAGAAACCTTTGAATAGCTATCAATAGCGATGCAGGAAACAGACCAATCCATGCTGAATTCATTGCGGCACCAATTATCTGAAAAGGTAAATACATCAGTGACGCCGCATACACTCGAAATCCCTGAGATGAGGTAGGCGTGGCTGCGTACTTCAACTAAACGTCGTGGTGGCTATGCTTTTGGAGAGATATTTTCATTTTGACCCAAATGTGGTCACGTCTCTGTCCAACAAAGAACTGAAATATCCCACGAGTAACCAGTTCTGTGCCATGTTCGAATGCCACGCCTACCCCGTCTCAGGGATAAGAGTATATTTCGCGACAACTGCTGCGCTCAAATCGCGTGAATCTGGCCTCCCGCGCTTCATCACTAATCGATGGATTCATTTTCATTCGGCTCAATCGGACCACCAAAGACTTGCATGATGTAATCAGGGCACATCGTTGTTGGGGAATCCCCAACAGGGGGTCGTATTTGGCCGCCAGGAGAGGGGGGGTCGTATTTGGGCTGAGAAAAATTTATTTTGATAGTTGATTTTTCTCGCTTCACGGACGTTGTAAAAAAAAAGGGGGGTCGTACTTGCTCATTGTTGAGTTAGGAGGGTTGGGGGGGGGTTGTATTTACTTGTCTGGCCATTCAGGAGTAATGCGGTAGGCGTGGTGACTTTTAGTGATTCTTCCTGTTTCATGCGTACTTTGATGCCAACCCCACCCGCTTGCAGCCAAAATTTTTGGGGAAACGTAGGGAAGTTTCGGGAAATTCTGGAAAAAGCGGCAGAAGGTTGGGGAAATCTAAGAATTGTCCCGCGGTTTCCTGTTTTACATGTGCTCTTTACCACCTCTCCCCCCACCCGCTCGACGGCCTCGAGTCGATGAGAGGGCAGAGGCGTGAGGGGGGGACGGAGCGAGGTCGGCTACCACCCCCCTCCCCCCCCCCAAAAAAAAAAAGGGGGGGGGAGGGTTCGTACGGATTTGATAAAACCGCCAACAATGATGTGCCCTGGACGGTAATGTAAATCAGGCCAGTCTTCTCACGTTATAGACAACATGGGGAGGGCGTGTCGGCGGAAAGTATGGCTAAATGGTTTGCATTTCGAAATTTCCATTGCGGAACTGTTTCGTGTTTGTGCAGGACAGAGAAAGGATCGATTGTCCAAAACGGCAAACCCAGCGCAGCCGCCCCACCCTCCCCCCCCTCCCCGTTCAAATGAGCACACAGCCATGCCCACCCCTTTCAAGGATAGTCGCGCAAAGCCCAGTTGTACCTCGGTGAGAATCCACGTAAAACCTCCAACAGCAATTCGGAGAAAAAAAAGCGATTGGAAATACATGCGGAAACCCGAGCGCTTCAGTTGATCTCAAAAATCTCACCCGTGATAAATGTGGCATAGTAAAGGCCGCAGTTTTCCATATAGTAACAAAACCACTAAATAGATGGCAAATTAGCTGAATGCAGTCAAGAATACCCATAAAGAGCATCAGCCGATGTGCTTGTAATGTTCTGAATTCGCGATCCATTATGAGCACCTGAAAATATGTTCCGAAGTAATTCTTCTAAGGTAGCTCTGTGGAGCCGGCAACTTGGCGGAATGCGGGTGGGGTGTGGAGGGTGCTGGGAAGGGGGGGAGGGGGGGAGAAGGCGGAAATGTCAATAATGGAAAAACTTTTTCTCGTTGCTCGGATCTTTTCTAAAGGCAGAGCACACGATCACTAATTATCTAAGCTGTTCATGGGGGAAGTAGTGTGGACTGCAAAGAGAAATCCTGTACAAGTGTCAGGTCAGAAGTCGTAAAGTAGTAGCGGTAAAGCACAGGGTTACTTAAGTGACTCCGCCCACAGTGATAGATGTCTTGTGTGTTGCCTTTGCATGCTCTTTCGCTGCTTTCCCTGGTCTCTCTCCCGGTATCCACATTGATTGTTTGTCTCCCGCTTGACACAAGTAAGGCTTATTTGGGGCCTTTTGACGGTTTTCTTTCATCTTTCCTCCACGGGCAAGTCAACTTACACACACACGGTACTGTTCCCACGAATTTTTCGATGCACTTACCGCATTAAAAGAGAGATAAATTGATAATAGAATTGAAGATATGATGATATAGGCAAAGCCAACGATTCTGGACTCGGCATCCAACGAACCAGCTAATGGAGTCTGCTCCGTAGCATCCATCTGAAAGTAAGAGATGAAAACTGGTGAAAATCAGCAAGACTGAGTCAGTGGTTTCAAAAAACGGCTTCGCATAACACTGAATAACCTTGCGACCCTAAAGGCCTGAGAAACGTGCATCGTGCACTTACAAATTCCAAGGCGGTGTAAAAGTGGAACATCTCCAGAGATTTGGCACTCAACAGCAGTCAGAAAAACTTTTTTAGATACCATGTTTCATGAATTTTCGTTTCAACGAGTTTCGTAGCTGATGCTCTTAAAAATGGCCCAACGCTTTGACTATCTAGATTTTGATGGATGGATGTATGTTAAGGGTCAAATACCGGCTGGGTTCCGGAGGCCCTCTCGAAGAGGCCTCTCCCCTTAGCGTACCTGTCAGATCACCAGAGAAATCAACCGAAGAAAACCCCGTGAGAGAAAGGGCCCATAAAATCTATTACTGCTTGATATAAGTTGGTAGCTATGAGCAGAAATGGCATGCATCGCCGTTGACTTCAATAGCTCCAATGCTGTGCAAAGGGGAGGAGATCATCTATTATAAATAGAGGCGTATTTCGGATGCTCGTGCATGGATTTTTTTGCGGATAATGCTTCAAGAAATAGCTTTAATAATGTGCAAATGGGAGGAAGATCATTTGTTATAAATAGACACTTATTTCGGTTGCTCATTCTGGGATTTCTAGCGGAAATCCATAATGCGTCAAACGCCCCTGACGAAAATTCCGGTCCTCTACTGAAATCCATGAAAAGGCAACTTGGCTATCACCGCCTCTTGCGTACAATTACGGTCCTCCTAAGAAACTCGTTTTGACTGTGGCTACCCATGATTTTAGCCTGGGAATGGCTCGTGTTCAGTGTGAATCCTTCTACAAGTCCGGTCTATAGCTACAACTAGAATGGTACGATAAGTTTTATCTAACAGAGCGGTCCCTTTCTGCTCCCGCAGCTGTTGACTTGGCAAGTCTTTTCTCAAAATAAGAGTTTTTTGGCTGTTGTCCCGATAAGAGGAACTGTTGGGTCGTTGAGGATAAGGCAGCAGACGAATCATTATTAGAAGACAGTAAAATAACTACAAGGAAAGTAATCCGTCTGTCTGACCAAAGCTTCTAGTCAAACTTGGCAGACCTGACAGAGCACCAAACCAAATACAGTCATATGTGAGATCATGGTGTCCTAACAGAAACGCTATGAAAAGAAGGGGTCCGATGGTTAGGAGTGAACAATATCGAGGCCTAGGGCCGTCCGTTAGAGGTCCGTTTGGGCCTCTAACAAAGTCAGTCTAGTCGCAACGCCTGCCTTTTTATAAAGTGTTCCACCTAGCAACTTCGTTAGACCGAAAACCATCAAACGTACATTTGATATAGTCGCAATCAGTGAGGGCGGTTCCAGGAAGACTGAGATGAGCCCAACCGCGGCTTTCCCGGGAAGCTTGATCTTTTACTAATTCGATCATTAATAAATGACCTTTGGTTGAGCGAAGCAGCCCAAGACGGGCTCATTCTCTCCTGCCCCCCCCTTGACACTATTACAGCATTGGCAAAATTTTACGGAGAAGCAGCACTCTGTTAGTGATTACTTGCCCTAATAAGTGGCTCAAAGTTTCTTAGTTTCCCAGATAATTCCGTACCACAACCTATAGAATGAGGCGGAGAAGCTGTGGCGCCCTTCTCACGCGCCCACTCGGGAACGAAATTGTCAAAAAGCTGGAGATTTCGATAAGAGAAACTCTGAACAGATAATTAGTAATGATTATTTGTACAACGATACTGCAAGTCTTCTGCTTGATTGATAAAATGAAACAGTTCCAAGTCATTTATCTCCTGTCGACGTTTCGGGCCTCAAGCCCTTCTTCGGGTCTGCAAACATATCTGTACACATAGGCTACACCAACATCAATCCAACTATTATACATACACCGCAGAATACTCGAAGAGGGAAAACAATCAACTAACAACTGACCGGATTCCTACGAGAAGGAGGCCCGGGTTGGAGTGGTGTGGGATGGAGTGGGTGAGCATATTATAACGGGAAATCCAAAGCATATAAACAGAATTTTTGGGGTGACTCTGAGGAAAAAGGCTGAATATGGAATAGACACGGGCAAAACAACACGAAAAGTTGAAGCGATGCGTGAAGACAACACGACCAAGGTTAAAAATAATTCCAAAAATGAGCATAAAGCTAACAATCGAAAAATGGGGATTTCTGAAATACTGAGGTGTGAAGAGTTTCCTGCTAATGTGTATTTGCCTAAATTTGTCGTTGTCTTATTTTTATTCGCTTGGATGTTTTCGTTGTCCAGGTTGCACTTTGTAGCGCACCCTCGCGTGCATAGTAAATAAATAAATAAATAAATAAAATCAGTTGCAATAACATCCGCTTTTGTGTTACCATGAATCACAGCATTTGCAAAAAATCCAGGAAGTGGCCAATTGCTACTAGGTTGCAGTGTTTTCTATACAAACCGGCAAAGAATGTGAGCAATTACAGATACTGCAAAGCTAGCGATTCAGATACCTAACAGATTAATTATCACTTAACAGTTTTTCTCGTTTTGCAAACAACGTATTCAAACAAACTCTACGTATTCCAGGGCGGCAATTTCGGTCCGCTATGGACAGATCTTACGCTCTCTGTCTGGTTTATAATTATGCAAAATCTTCTAATTTCAATAGTGGTGAGCATTATTCCATACGGTTATGTGGATGATTTCCTAGTCGTGTAAAACCAAGATAAAAACGGGCTCTAGGAAGATTTTACAGAGGTCCATGAAACCCACTTTCACTGAAAAACTCGTATATGCTACATATTTAGCAGTTATTCAGATCGAATAATAAAAGATTAAATGGTGAGATGAATACTAAGTTGTGTACCAAGACTGATGACCTTAGCTTCGAGATAATTAGGTGAAACACACTCATACACTTATACAAATATTTATCCTAATAATAGAGCTTCTGTTTTATGCAGAGAGGCACTAAAATCAGCCAACACTTGCTACGATCTTTGACATATTCGTATCTGATGATGATTCAGTTGATATGACTGGAACACTGAGAAATGGCTACAATTAGAGCTTATTTATCAGGAGCATTGCTAAATGTGCTAGAAATACGTTACAAATATTGGATTGCAAAGTAATATATGATACGATACAAATATTGATTCTAAAAAAAGCTAAGCAAACTGGTAAAGAGTTTTCATTGATAGCGATGATTAGTTATAGCTTTTGTTTTTACTTTTTCAGCTTTTGGCTTTGAACTTGTAACTCGTTTCAACAGTTATTTACATATCACTCTGGAAACCTGGAACTCCATCCTTATGACCAACTAAGTGCTGCCCTGGTTCATTCTTTCCACCTCTGAGTGTAACTGCCTGAAATTTAACTGCAGTTGAGTTTTTTTGGATCTTTTTGTTTTTGTTTAGTTGTTTGTTTCGGATATTTGTTGCTCTGCATTGGTACTTTGTTTTATTTGAGCGCGTTGTATTGACGCATAAGTAAAATAAATAAATTAAATCCTTTATTTGCGTTATAGCAGAATGAAACCCATATCATATTTTTGCGCTAATCATTTCACACTCCATTTTACTGCCATCGTCCTCTTTCTCTTCTCCTTATTGCATGATTTTGCATAGGCATGTATATACAATATTCCATCACCTCTCCGTCAACTCCTTCTCTATGTTGTCCTTATTGCGTCAAACCTACCCCACTGACAAATTCAGGGGTTGACTGAGGAAGAGTGGTTTGTCTAAGTTCAATGACGAAACAAACCGCAGGTCTTCAGGAGTAGTTTTCCTACCCATGTCCACTTTTATTATTGCACGTGGGCTGGCGAGTCATATAGGTTACATCATTTTCGATATTCTCCACCTATCTATCTTTTCATCCTTATCAGTCCTTTTTAATGAAACAGTGCTCTTGTCTCTCTGAGAGCAACTTTACCTAGAAGCGGAGCATTTCGATGTCAAATAAGAGGAAACTTGTCAAAGTAATCAGATGGATAAGCGTTGGGCCATCTCGAGATATTCTATATATACAAAGAGAGTGCAAGCAATATGACCCGGGTGAACCCGCTTCTATAGAGCGCTGTGCCTACACGCCTGCGGCTTTCCTCTTGCGAACTGCAGGCTCTGCGAGTGCAGGGAAGATTTTGCCAAGGGAAGTTTCCTTGGCAAAACTTTCCGTGATACCAATCTGCGAATCGTCTAGCGAGTTACAAATATTTGAGCAGAGCCTCTCAAGGTGCCTCATTCCGTTTGGAAATGTGGAGGAAGTCAATTTGGAAATGGCTATCCCCACCAATCTAATTTCCCTTGTGATGAGTAGTGATCACATTTCGTAACAACAACTCTGGGGAATAGTTTTCGAAAAAATTAAGAGAAAGATCTTCTGGAGCGTCGACACAAATAGATGCCAAAGAGTAGAGGAGAACTTGTATTGTGATACTAGCGCACGAATCCTATTTACAAAGTAGAGAAACCAGTGCAAAACATGCGAAGAAAAACTAAGAAGTTCTTAGGCCCGGCGCAAACAGTACCTTAATGGTCTGGGAATAGAAAGCAGGCGAGTACTTCCTTCTCCTCCCTGCAAATGGCGACAACAAATCTCCAGTTGTTATGGGTTTCGTCAGAGTTAGTCCCACTGTAATAACTCCAAAATCTAACGAAATAACACGGCACATGCGATGTCTTGTTCCAAGTAACACAAACAGTACCAAGAAAAAAATTGAAGGAAAATAGTCA